CCCAGGCTGTAGTGCAATGGCATGATCATGGCTCACTGCAGCCTCGACCTCCTGGGCTCAGGCAATCCTCCTGCCTCAGCCTCTCAGGTAGCTGGGACTACAGGTGTGCACCACCATGCCCAGCATATTTTAAAGTTTTTTTGTAGAGATGAGGTCTCACTATTTCGCCCAGGTTGGTCTCAAACTCCTGGCCTCAAGCAATCCTCCTGCCTCAGCCTCCCAAAGTGCTGGGATTATAGGCATGAGCCATCACGCCCTGACCTGTTTGTGAATCTCTTAAAATACAGCAAAAGAGAAGCAGTCAGATGAGCAGCGCATTCTGGGACACAGAGGGTATTTCATCAATGTTTTCTCTAATCTCTTCTGTGAATGAATATCTTATCTCCACAATTGCAGTGTGAGCAGGAGCCTCACCCTGCTAAATATAAGTGCTTCCCAATTCACAAAGGTTTAACAAGGGTTAGGGTTAGGGTTAGGAGGTTTTCTACTAAGTCAGTTGTTTGGAATTTGAATCCATGATCCTGCAGAAAGAAATCACATTTTACTTAAATATATCCTCAGGCCACCTCATAAAAAGTCTATTTACTACATAATATACCCCAAACCTAGTGATCCTTATGAAGAGGATTGTTTCAACTGCACCCATCACCTTTCTAACAGCATTGTAATGGGAACTATGTATCAGGAATGTCCAGCAAGAACACCTGCCCAGCACTGATGGAAAAGGGCTCTCACCATCCTGGGTATGATGGAAGCTGCAGAATGCCCAGGGGCAATCTCGTTGTGGTGGATGGGGTGGGTCACTATCTGTGGGTCTGCTGCCATCTGTGCTTCTCTTTAGGGCTTTCTCCAGCTCCTACCCACATTTGAGTACTGTGGTGACCACAAAGGCTCATCCAAAAATTTTTTTTTTTTGAGCTGGGGTCTCAGTCTGTTGCATTTAGGCTGGAGTGCAGTGGCATGATCACGGCCACCACAGCCTTGACCTCCTGGGCTCAGGTGATCCTTCCACCTCAGCCTCCTGAATAGCGGGGACTATAGGTATGTGCCACCACACCCAGCTAGTGTTTGTATTTTTTGTAGACACAAGGTCTTGCTATATTACCCAGGCTCCCTGGCTCAAGCATTCCTCTCACCTCAGCCTCCCAAAGTGCTGGGATTACAGGCATGAGTCACCACACCCAGCATCAATAAATTCTTGTGGAATAAGACTCTGCTTATCATTTACTTACTCAGTGAACATTTACATGCATCTACTCAGCATATAGGTCTAGCAGGGCAGAAGTAAATAAGACATACTCTCTGCCCTCAGTGAGTTAGATTCAGTGGGGGAAAGTCAAACTAACAAGGAACCGTGAAGTAGGGCAGCACCTAGCCATGGCTCAACAGAGTCATGTCCAGGTCCGGGGGGATTTCTCTAAGCCTGCTTTTAAGGATGCAGACTCCTCAGGTTAGGGAATGATCCGTGCCATGGCCTAGATACATTGGAGTAAGGACAAACCCAAGATGTACCACCACCAAACCTGAGCTCAAAGTCACATTCAGAACAAATGGGAACCACACATGACAGTTTTGTTCTTACTGGTGGAGAACTCTTGCTTACCTATCCAGAAATGAAAAAACAAAATTGGTGTCTAAGGGGAGGAAGCCATGTGTTCCTTTCTGAAAGGCTTTGAAAAATCATAAAGTGGTTGGAGCAAAAATACCACATGTATCAGATCTGGTTCAGTGAGAGATCCAGGCAGCCGAGGGTATGGCCGTCCTTCCAAAGACACCTCCTGTGATGCACACATTTTTAAAAACTATGGTTTTTTAAAAGAATTGTCTATGGAACATTTGAAAAATTGACTATAACAAGTCACCAAAAAAAGACATAGAAACAGAGACCCTCAAATTGAAAAAAAAATTAGTTTTTTGTTTGTTTTTTGTTGGGATTTCACTCTGTCACCCAGGTTGGAGGGCAATGTCACAATCAAGGCTCACTGCAGCCTTGATCTCCTGGGTTCAGGGGATCTTTCCGCCTCAGCCTCCCAAATAGCTAGGACTAGAGGTGCGTGCCATCACACCTGGCTTATTATATATATATATATATTTTTTTTTTTTTGTAGAGACAAGGTCTTGTTCTGTTGCCCAGGCTGTTGTCAAATGCCTGGGCTCAAGCAATCCTCCTGTCTCAGCCAACCAAAGTGCAGGGATTACAGGTGTGAGCCACCATGCCCGGCCAACTGCAGTTTTTTAAGTCACTATTTTTGAGTTTCACAACCCTTCAGAGAGGCGGAATGGAGAGAAACTCCATTTTCTGATGAGAAAACAGCAGCATAGAGAGGTGGACAAAGGTCTCCAGGCCTGGCAGGCAGCAGCTAAGGGGAATCCAAATCTCGTGATTAATGACCTAATGCCTTTTCCGCTGTATCAAGCTGCTTCTCTGATGCAAAGCAAAATTTTCAAATACTTTTTCCTTTACTTTATGTGGGCTGCAAAACAAACGCAGCTCAACTACAAAGACAACCAACCCTAAGAGGGCTGACTTTGCAAGGCGTGCATTCTTCACTTTCTGAAGTGCATAAACTTTCATAATATCACTGTCACAAGATGCTAAGTAATTAATTATTTTAAAAGCAAAGAATGCACACACCTCCAAATGATGGGAAAATCAGATGAGGTTATGTCTGTTACCCATAGAACAGGCTGGAAAATTTGCACACGTGGAGCTCCTTTCCAAAAGAAGCTTGGTACAGGCATGTGACAGAAATACTGGGAAGAAGAAAAGTTCTTTTAAACATGACCTACTGGGAACATCTAAGGTTTTTCTTATTTGGTTCCTACCTTAAAACCATTTTCTCACCAAGCTATAAATTTAAACTCTGTGCCCAGGTTTTCCAAACCACATGGCCTTAGAAGTGACCTAGCTGATTCTGTGTCATTAATTAGGATGAAAAAAACAGATATGGCACATGTCTATCTCACAAACAGAAACTATGGTTTTTAAAAGAATTGTCTATAGAACATTTGAAAAAATTGACTATAACAAGTCACCAAAAAGAGAAATAGAAACAGAGACCCTCAAATTAAAAAAAAAAAAAAAAAAAAGCCAGGCTCAGTGGCTCAGCCTGTAATCCCGTGCCTTTTGGGAGGCTGAGGTGAGTGGATTGCCTGAGCCCGCAGGTTCGAGACCCACCTGGGCAGCGAGACCTCATCTCTACAATAAATCAAAAAAATCAGCCGGGTGTGATAGCGCATGCCTGTAATTCCGGCAACTTGGAAGGCTGAGGCGGAAGGATCGCCGGAGCCCAGCAGGTCGAGGCTGCAGTGGCTGGGAGCGGCCACTGCACTCCAATCTGGGCAACAGAGTGAGACTCCAACTCAAAAAAAAAAAGCAGAAATTAGGCCACAGCCTCTAACTGCAATGCAACAAATTAGTATACACATTAAACAAAAAACAGTAGCTACTTAGGACACTCATCCTATCTGCTGGTAAGAATATATCCGTTCCCACACAGAGACTGTGAGAGAGTAAAAAAAGAGAAGAAAATTTGATGTGTTTCAAATTTACTTACAATAAGCAAAGAAAACTTTCAATTAATGTGTTTTTTTAAAAAGGCTACTTGAAGAATATTTGTTATAAAACCACAGATACTCATAGACAACCTGCAAGACAAAGAGCACTGGTCACTGACAAGTAAGATGGCCCAGCAGGAACAGTTTCTTCATCTTTCACCATGACGAGTATCATCTTTAAGTTTCTTTTTTATATTCTGGTATGAAAATCAGTTTCATGGGCAGAACCATAGTTGTCTTGCTCCATACTGGACACAATAACCCAAAGAAACTACTCAGTACATATTTATAGAATGAGCTAATTAATTATGTATATGAAGAGATTATATTTATATAGATTTTATATATATAAAGAGATTTTATATATATATAAAGAGATTGGCTAAATACTGTATCTAAACTCAGTGGGATATTATATAGACACTTAAGTGATAAAACAGAAATATATTTTATTTATATAGAAAAAATTTTCAGGCCTTACGATGGTTCATGCCTATAATCCCAGCATTTTGAGAGGTAAAAGAGAGAGGGTTGCTTGAGCCCAGGAGTTCAAGACCAGCCTAGGCAACATAGTGAGACTTCATCTCTATAAAATATAAAAAAATTTAGTTGGATTTGATGGTCCCAGCTACCCGGGAGGCTGAGGTGGGAGGACTGCTTGAGCCCAGAAGATCAGACCTGAGCAACAGAGCGAGACCGTGACTCAAAAAGAACAGGAGAAATATTTTCATAACTCATGTAGTTAGTAAAGCAAGTTATAGAACAGTTTATATAGAAGAAACTTGTCTTCTCTTTCTTTTCTCTCTCACACACAGACAATTTTAAAACTCTGTTCACAAGTCCGTCACACATGAGCTAGTAAAAAGAACTACAACATTCAGTGTACATGGCATGCATCTTATATGTGTAAGATGTGGGAAAAGAAAGAGAAAACATTTTTCTACTGTTGATTCATTTGCTTCAGAGTTGCATAGGCCCGCTGCTTCTGATCTTTCATGGATGGTGACCACACAAATCTGTATCATCTGGCCTGTTTCTTCAGCTGCCCCTGCCCTGGCTAATGGCAGTTCTGGAAGAGACCCATCTCAACAAGCCATCTGCTTAATATTCAAACCAAAATAAAAACAGCCCAGAGACAGTATGCTGCTGTGCCCTAGTCAGTGTCTATAACTTAAGTGTCTGCTAAGTAGCAACATTTCTCAAAGTTAATATTAATCAAGTTTTAAATTACATGAAACCAGCTTGTCATTGAACCTGACACAACAATTCAGAACTTAAAAGTGAATCCACCCACATCCATCTCTCTTTCCAAGCACTACAAGGGCATGTAACATGTCATCACAGAGTAATAATTAACCCCCAAATTCCCGGCCTGTGGTGCAACGGAAGTAAACACTTGAAATATTTTGGTCTGGAAACGTTAGTAAATCAAACCTATTTACCTATGGTGCCGACTTCTTGGTTCAGCGCTTGTCTTGCCGCAAACTTACTCCACAGAGAAGGCAGGGCTTTTAGCTTCAGCCTTGGCAAGAAGAAGGTAAAGGAGGAAAAGATTACGACTCGTTCTCTGGATTACCCCCAACTCTCCACCACCTTGGAAGAGGAAAGTCACCGTGACCCTGCCTCTTGCAACGACAACTGTACGGGGTCCGTCCCAGGAAAACCCTGTGCCCCTCCTCCCTTACCCAGCTCCCAGCGCTACCTTTCCCAAGCAGCCCAGGGACAGGAGGGGGGCGGGGTGGCTGGGATCGAGGTGGTTGTGCAGCCCCGAAGGTCCCAAGAAGCCCAACACATTACAAACCGTGGATTTTTTTCTTAGAATCTTGACATTTGGAGCATACCTTCTCTCCTTTAAGTTAAAAAAAAAAAAAAAAAAGGTGTGTGTATGGGGGGTGCTTGAAAAAAGCGAGCAGTTGTCTCCTGTTTGTAGGGGGTGGGTGTGGAGGCAGAACCGACCCCCTGGCCTCCGCTAGCACCACCCTGCGCCCGTCTGGCTTCTCCCGAATAACCAGGGCTGCGCACCCGGGAACTTGGAGGAGACCTGGGCGCCGGCACGGCCCGAACTGGACAAGGCAGTGGTCCGGGAATCCGGAGGGACGTCGCGCGGCATTCGCAAAGATGCCACCTGACCCAGCGGACCCTGCCCTGGTCGCCCTGCTGCGCTGGGGCACCAAGTGGGAGATCCTTCCTCAAAGGTTGGCCGCAACTGGTGAAAATAACTTGCTCGTGAGTGTCTCACGTCCGACTGCAGCAGCCAGACGCACCCACCCCTGGGTCGGACTGTAGAGGTCTCGGGGATCCCTGGGGTTCTCGGAAAACGTCCTCCAAGTCAGAGACGCCCAAACTCGACCGCGCCGAGAGAAGGGCGCGCGTCCATGTCCCCGCCGTGGACCTTCCCTCCTAGGGGACAATCGAAGGACCCAGAGTCGCCGCGGCCCCGGCCAAGACCTCCGCACCGCTCCAGCCCCACCGAGAGGGGCGAATCCTGAGGTTCCGGGCAGCTCCCGGAGCTTGCACGGAGGCCGAGCAGGGGGCAGCCCGCGGGCCCCCGGGATCTCCGGCGCGAGTCCTCGGTGTGTGTCCTCGCCTCGCGACCCCGGGTGCCCAGCCCCGCGCCCCGGGGTCGCGGGCCCTCGGGTTCCGCGCATGCGCCGCCCAGCCCCTGCCCCTCCCCCGTCCGCTACCCTCTC